TAACTTCAGTTCTTTTACATTTACTTAGACATGTCCTATGAGCTAGCATGTGGTCTATTCTGGAGAATGACCCGTGTGCAGCCGAAAAGAATGTATATTCCGATTTTGTGGGGTGGAACACTGTAAACATCTATTAAGTCCATTTGTTCAATAGCTTGGTTCATTTCTAGAATTTTCTTGTTAACTTTTTGTCTAGATGATCTGTCTCTTTGTGATAGTGGGTTATTGAGGTCCCCCACTACAATTGTGTTAGTGTTTATTTGGTTTTTCATGTCTATTAATATTTGTTCTGTATAGTTGGGGGCATTTGTATTTGGTGCATACATATTTAGGATTGTCATCTCTTCCTCTTGGATTGTTCCTTCACAAGGATGTAGTGACCATCTTTGTCTCTCTTAATTAGTTTTGGTTTGAAATCTACTTTGTCTGCAAATAAGATTGCTACCCCTGCTTTCTTCTGGGTTCCTGTGGTGTGCAGAACTGTTCTCCATCCTTTTACTTTCAGCCTATGAGTTTCTTTTTGAGTTAGGTGTGTTTCTTATATACAGCATCTTGTTGCATTTTCCTTTTTAATCCATTCTGCCAGTCTTTCTTTTGATTGGTGAATTGAGGCCATTAACATTGAGGGTTATAATTGGTAGATATTGATTTATCCTTGTCATGATGTTTTACTTTTGTTGGCTCTTTTATTTCTTATTTTTTTCCCCTTACCCTTTAGTGTCTTACCTTTCCTGGTGGCTTCCTTCTGTTGGGCCTCATTGAGTTGTTACCTTCATTGTTTTTTTCTAGGATATTGTTTAGAATTGCTTGTAGTGTTGGTTTGGTGTTCATGAAATTTCTCAGGTGTTCTTTGTCGTGGAAGTATCTAATTTCCCCATCGATTTTGAAAGATAATTTTGTAGGATACAACAGTCTAGGTTGGAAGTTATTTTCTTTTAGGGCTTGAAATACTTCCCTCCAGGTTCTTCTTGATTTGAGGGTTTATGTTGAGAAGTGTACTGTGATTCTGATGGGCTTTCCTTTGTAGGTGATTTGTTTCTTTAACTGCATGTAGGATTTTGTTTTTCTGTTGGGTTTCTGGGATCTTGACTATTATATGTCTAGATATAGATTTTTTTTGATTGTGGCTAGTTGGTGTTTTATATGCCTCACTTGTCTATATGTCCAATTCTCTACCTCTGTCTGGGAAGTTTTCCACTATTACTTCTGTGAACAGTTTTTTTATGTCAGTTATGCTTTCTCCTGTTTTTTCATGGACTCCTGTCAGTCTTACGTTATTCTTTTTTGCATCATCTAGCAATTGTTGGATTGATTTCTTGTGGTCCCTTACTATTTTTAAGAAATCTCTATTTTCATGGTCTCTAACCATGATCCCGTCTTTTATATCTGATATTCTATCTTCAGATTCCCTTAATCTGCTGTGGATACTTTCAATGGAGTTTTTGATCTCCTGAATATCTGTTTGAATCTGTTTCATGGATTCCATTTCTTTCTTATGTTGGGCGATCATGGTTT